CCCCAAAACCCCAAAACCCCAAAACCCCATGTTGAATGAAATCAAAGATTCATTTATATTTGTTAATTTGAAATAAAAAGTGAATTGCGTGAATGAACTTGTTAGGTTCAGTTGTATTGCTGAGGCCCTCTCTGCTGAAAAGATAGATTCTATGCAACTCCATATTACTATGGCGCAATAGTCATTGTTTGAAGAGTATGATGATGATTCATGTGAGTTTGTGGTTGAGGAATTTAATTAGTGAACATAGTATTTTGATGATGACTATTGTTATAGTGAGGTTGAGTTTGATTCTGTGATGGATATTCCCAATACTATTGTTATTAATTGAATTAAGTATGGTGATTTTGCCCTCCTATTGTAGTTGCTAATAGTTAGTCCATCTATTGGTTATGCATATAAATATTCTGCCAAAGTGAGTTAGGGTTGAAGTTAAAGATGTCAAGCACATGATTTTGCTGTCTAGCTTACGATTCAAACATCTGGTAAGTATGATAGTAGCATTCTTACATGTACTACTCTAAGGCTTCTTCATTTTCACTGGAGTCAAGACTACTTTCGCTACTCACATCATCATCTTCATCAAAGTTTGCTCTGTGTACTTTCTCCTTAATAGGAATGATTTATGGTAGATACCAATAAAACTTCCCAGTGTTGAGATTTGCTTAGTTCTTAGAGCTTGAGAGTTCTTTAGAATTGTTAGAACAACCTCCTGTGTTTCTGGACTTTTGATATTCAAGCTCAAGTGGTTTCAAATTTTTTCTTGTCAATCGATGTTTTTGGATATAATCCTCATCAGAGACGAAGTTATCGCTTGTAGATTTATCTGAGTAAGAGCTCGTAAAATCTAAAGAGAACTCTTCTCTTCTGAAATCGATTGGAATTTTGAATTTTTCGAATCTTGGTAGGGGTTTTCTTTTTTTGTCAGAGAATTAGAGTTTGCCTTAGCTTGTGAAAAATTTAAAGGATTTTTTGATAGTTAATTTTGATCTTATAAATCTCTGAATTTTAATACTATTTTAAATTTAAATGAAAATTTAAATTACATTTTCTTCAAGCGAGCTAATGAGTGATTTTCAGATTAATCCTGATCTGTATTTAGTATTAATTGGGATGAAGGATTAACCGCACCTCCTTCATTATATACTTTTTGTTTTCTTCTAGCTTTCTTAGTTTTATTTTTCTTAGACTTCAAAATAGGTCCTTGAGATGCTCCTGCATTTATCTCTTGAATAGAGAGTAGTTCTTAATCAATCTTTTTCCATTTTCTCTGGTATTCATTGTCCAGATAAGTCTGATAAAACTAAACGAGTCTGTTTTCGATGATGAAACCTAAAATAAATTCAAAATCTTCCCAGATCTTTATGTCAGAGGCGTTAATTGCTTTGAAAAGTAGTTCTTCTTAAACCACACACAATTTTTCGTTTGTCTCTGTGCTATAAATAAAAGAATCAGATGTGCTCTCTAAAAATCCTGAACATGTGGCTTCCCTACAGAGATCTATCAGTTGTGAGAGATATTCATCCTTAATAGTCAAGGCATGGCCTTGAACTTTACTGGTTCCGAAGTTTTAATTAGCATCCGTTGAAGTTGATAAGATATCAGGGGTATGGGACAATATTTTAACTAGATCTAAGTTATCTTCTGCCACATTTGAGCCTTACGTAGCTAATGTAGTATTACTGTCGCCGCTTTTTTTGCCACTATTATTGTTAGTATTGTTTTCTTTCTATGTATTTTCGATATTCCAAAGCATTTCGAAAGCATTTAATAGTTAATAATCAACTGATTTCTGAGTTTATTGAGTGCCTGAAATGCTTGAATTGCTGATACTTTGTTGCTTTTTAGAGAGAAGGTCGCAATAAAGCAAACGATTGTTTGTTTTGTTAATGAGATCTATAAGATCTTTCGAGAAAAATATAAGAGAATTTCTCTTCAAAGTGAGACTGCATTTTTCCCAGTACTGCTTAAAAGCTACCAGATTTAAGTTGACTGGGATAGTAATCTTTGGGAGCTGCTTGATAAAATGCTTTGAGAGGTAAGGCCTTAAGCGAGGATGAACCTTGATCTTCATTTTCTTCGCTTTAATATAAATATTGCTTTCTCAAGAAATTTCAAATTTTTCATGCCGGGGTTTTGGGGTTTTGGGGTTTTGGGG